AACTTGACATTGGGCCCACCACGCCAATTTCCTGGGACAGAACCGCACCTGCCACTGCCAACACTACGGGCAGGGGACCGCAGCCACTGATAAAAAGGGCAAAAAAAAAGCAAGAGCAAAAGTAAAAGAAAGAGGGAGAATAAAGAAATACAGACAGAAGTGGACAAACTCTAGGCTCAAGACACGAGCACAAACACTGCTACTTCTCTACCCCAATCTTAGATACAAGGCACATTTTTATCCTGGCGAACAATGGAGCCTGGGGCACTGAATATATTCAAAGGCCGTGTTAGTCAGATTTCTGCTCTCCGATAGAGCCAAGGGTTATGGAACAGACAGGAATGAGTTAAAGCCATGATCCAATTAGGTATCATCTTATTGAATGACAGAAGAAACTCGAAATGTCACTCCTGCTCCCATTTCTTATATTTATTCTTTGATTCCTTCCGGTTACGTTTACTAAAGTCTACAGCGGCAATCTGTCAAGAGTTTTCTACTGCATTATTAGGAAAATAGCGAACCTCCAAATTCAAGATCATTTGTTTGTGGCCATTACTCTCAGTACAACCTGTTGAAATCAGCTAAGTCCATTTCAAAAGCACCAAATCATGCTAAGTCCAGGAAATTCGAGATTTGAATGAGCCACGAACTAAATTATAAGACATTTCCCCAGATAATTACCACAGAAATAGATACAGCATTTCCCAAAGGATAAATGTTGCTGTTTTCTTTTGAAACTGGCAAGATCTGCCACATTTATTAAATGAACAAAAGTTTCCATAGAAATTGTACGTTTAAAACGTTATTTTGGAGGACTCAGTACATTTAATGATTTTTTTTGACTTGGGAAGTTTGGTTAAAATTTAACAAAATTAGCTTCATCAGGTAGTTTAGTAGGTATTTAAAAGTAGTGACCATCAAGGCTCCACATTGGATTTCCAATTTAAAAAGGACTTGTGTTTGTGTTTATGTTAAACCTCAGCCATAGCAATAAGTTATCTATTAGCCTTGGCTCTGCTGTAGCACTCTCACCAGAGTCAGAAGATTCAAGGTCCATTCCACTTGAACACATATTCCAGAAAATCATTTCAGAGCAATAATGAACAAGTTCTGCTTTGTCGGTGGTGCTATCTTTCAGAAATGTTACTTGGAGTCTCTGTCTGCCTGTTCAGTTCGAAGTAAAAGGATTCTACGTCATTTTTCAAAAGAGCAGTGCTAGAGATCTCCATGTGCTCCAACTGTCTTAGCTAACATTTATTCCTTAACCAATGCTGCTGAAAACACAGATGACTCATCTGCCTCAGTGCTGTATGTGGGATTTTGTTGCATGTCACACCTTTTCCTCCATTACAACTGTAGCTATGTTTCAAATATGCTTAAATGGCTGTCAAGTTCTCTGGCTTTATACAAATTTAAAGTTCTTTGCCTTTGATATACCTCAGCTGCCCTGAACTAGAGGGAGGGAAACAAAAATCAAAGCCCAAACACCCCATCCTTAGCAAGTGACCGTGCATGGACATCTGACCACAAATCACAGATAATATCTAAACCTCTCAAACATTCTCTTACTTTACACTTGAGGAATGGGTATTTCACCAAATTGCCAGTTAGTTGAGAATTTTGGGTATCAGGAAAAGAAAAGCTAGTTAGCATTTTACATAATGAAGGGCATTTAACGTTCACAGACATAATTGACAGAAAATGCTAAAGGAATCAAAGTTAAGAAGTTTATATAAAATTGTATTAAACTTTTAGAAGAAAAGAAATGAAAGCCTGTCCAGAATATACAGTTACTGGTCCTGGAGGAATTAATTCTCAAATCAAGGTATATTTTAAGAAAATGTATAGAAGTACAATAGCAGGACTGTACTTCTCAAAAGGTTAAGAAAGGAAACTGAACTCTTTGACAAGTAAGCATGTTATTGAGGTTTCAGTAGTGCATCAAAACTTCAACTTCCTAAAATAAAAATGCGCCTCAAATAACCAGACATTTCCACTGCTGTTCACGTAATGTTAAATTGCACGTTTAAGTTATTACAGATAGGATTTAGAGATTCTACGTTTACAAAAACGTGTTGCTTTGTGAATATGGCATCACATCTGGATCAAGTTGATTAAACTACACTGATTATTTATTTACACAGCCAGTATAAATTAAGTGTAGTGTGATACTTCAGTGATTTTGTTTTAAACGTGACAAACAATTGATTTGGAATACTTAAAGTCACATTTGATCTTACAACACAAACAGGATTACTTATTATCTTATAAATAAGGGTTATATGCATGAAAATGTATTAAGATTCCAAAATACCCATCCAAATGAACCAGTTGAGAACTTTAAATATACATCTTTTCACAGGGCTGCTGCCTATTCAGAAGTCAGACTGCAAGTATGCTTCATGACATTACTGAGCCTGAACATTGCACACCCAAATTGTGTGTTACTGCCATGGTTTTGGGTGTGTATAAATCAGTGGAATCTCAGTCATAATTTAGAATTAAACTAGATTTATTAATGGACCACCTTCCAACATGTCACATGCATAGTGTTGTGTCTAAAGAACACAAACGGGTATGATAAACAGGTACAGTTTAGGAGATACTGAGAAAGCTACCTAGCATCTTTACAAGCAACAAGATTAAATGATTTCAAAACCAATAGCTAAAACAATTTCAAGTTCTGGTAAACATGCCACTCTGACTTTTTCAGCACAAATAGTGGAAGAAACAAGATATAAAAAACTTTACCAATTCAAAGCTGCATTACACCATACTTTTAAAAAACTGCAAACTTTACCATTAATCAAAAGTAAAACAAAGAATATAGGTTAGATTTAGATTTGGAAGCCAATTAACAAAAGCACAACTACCTGAATGCCTCAATATTTTGGAAGTTACCTGTTAGTCATTCAATGATGAGTTTTGATATTCATCACTGTGCAAACTATTAATTACATCTGTTGTCTTGATTTATTTCTAAAAACTTGCAACTGACTGTTACAAGCCTTTGTCCAGAAAAAGAAGAATAAATAGTACTTTGGACTGAAGCGTATTTTGATACCAATCTTGTCGATTGATCTCATCTTGTGTTAAAATACTACAAAACTTGATTTAGTCACTTTGGTGACAAAATGGCAAAGCAATTTGGCTGGAAGTTTATCTTACTCACAGAATCATCTTTAAAACCTAAATGACTCACGGCTGCAATTAAATTAAACCTCCATTTGTCAAGGTGAGACAAGCCAATGAATATCACTTTCACTAATTAAATGCCATTGCAGAAAAGCTGGAATATTTTTAGCTAAACACAAGAACCAACTATTGACAGTAACAAGCTTCAAAGAATGGCTACTACTTCACTAAATTTTGGGGATTAAAAATGTAATAAAATTTGAAGAGTTTAAATTTCAGTGTAGTAGCTGTGGCATAAATCTGAAATAATGGGACTAGGGCTGACAATTTGTATTTTACAGTGCCATAATTTAAAGTACAGTGTAAACTAAATTTAATATTGACTTGAATATTGTCACAATGATCATTAACCAGATAATTCAGATTATATAATTATAAACTAACCATGGCATAAAGAATTGTGGAGAATGCAGTGTTCAATACCAAACTGAAGGACTGACAATAAAACATCAACCTTCGTACTCAGCACAGGAGTCAATGCATGAATTGAATAAAAATTAGAGGAAATGTCTATAAAACACTTTATGGTTAATTAAGGAAGGTGGGCATGGGGGTGGGGTAAATGATAAAAAGTAAAGGATCAGGCTATGAAAACCAACATATGGTGCTGCAATTTGATTATCTTCTTCCTATTCTGCTAAAAAAGGGTTTCCATTTTCAGCATTCCTCGCTTTGGAAATCAGCTTCTGCTGCTTTTTATTATTACACTAAGTGGTTTCTTCTTAAGTTGCCACTTGTAGCCAGAAATGTTGGCAATTATTGAATAATTAACACATTTTTCAAAAGTAGAACACTAGCTACAGAACTTCTCACCAGAATTTATTTTAAAAAGGTTATTAATGACAAGAAGAGGAGTTAACAAACCCACACAGAGCCAAATCAGTCAAATTAATGCATTATATTTCTGATTTAATCCTTCAATTAGTTGTGGGGAACAAACACTGCAAAAATCAAATGACTAAAACTGCTATCAAGTCCTTGGAAAAGAGAACATTGCCAAGTCCCTGAGCAAAAATTAAATATTTGGTTTTAGTAAGCAAACATGAGTTAATTGTGCTTGAGAAGTTATTGGTTACTATGGTCTAGTAGAGTTTTTTTTAAGCTTGATCGCTTAAGGAATTTTTTTTTGTTCAGCCTCTACTAGGACATCATAGTTTGGGATTGGTTAAAAATTACACTCGATTTCACTCTATGGTTGATTGACATAGGTGGTCTTTTCTCATTCTTTGTGTACATGTTCAGATTTTTGTTTAATTTCAAAACACTATTAAATAATTGTGGGATAATGCAGCTTCATAAAAGAACAATTGCCAATTATCAAAACAGGAATTGGACATACTCCGTTCTCGCTATACCTGCTCTTTACTTGAATTAGCCAAGCCAGGTTTCTTCTTCTTTTTAATGGGACTCAATGATTCATCTTGGGGTGAGTGTCCATTTGAGGATGGCTGAGGGCTAAGTTGCTTTCTTTTCAGTCCTGCACGTTCTGCAGAACCAGAGTCTGAAAAAAAAAGCTTCAAATCATTACAAGCCAAGAAAATTTCAGTTATTAGCCCAAGACATCTGAGCCAAGATTAGTGAGATTCATTGTTACTATGGAGGAGTAATTTCAAAAAGAAAAAGATCAAAGTTCTTCTTTTGGCTAAGGTCTTTTGTTTGTGGAGCTCTAATCAAATTTCTATCAATGTCCTATGAATTTTAGTACAAAGTTGAAACATGAAGTCATATAGGGATTCTTAAATTCAGTCCCTTCTTTGAATAAAAACAAGCATTAAAAAACAATCCTCAGAAAGTGTGAACAGTGGCCAAGTCATTCAAGGAACATAGAAGCTTTAATTCTAACTCAGTACTACATATAAAAGTAAGCACTATCTTGCTTGGATATTGCTAACCACGGTCATAGCTTGGAGATGCAACGTCAATTTAATTTTGAGAGTGACAGAAAAGTTTAAGGCGAAGTCACATAAAAGAGAGAAAATAACTGAAATGGCAAAAAAAAGTATAATATACACAGGATTGACTTATAGAAAAGAGATGGGTTTATTTGGGCCTTCTGTTCATAACATCGCACTTACGAAATGGTAATTAGAGTCAGAGATTGAGGGGAAATTTGATGGAGATGTGCAAAATTGTCTCAGATTGATTAACTTGTGTAAAAGAAAATCTATACCCATTAGTTGACAGTATAAAGATTAGTGGATACAGTATTAAAGTTGCGGACAAGAAATGAGAAGAATTTTTCTTTTGTTCACTGAGTGGTATTGACTCAGAACTCATTTCGTAGGAGGGTGGTGGATGCGTAGACAAAGAATGATTTCAAAGCAAAATTGGATGGGTACTGGAGGAAGATCAATATTCAGGGCTTCACTGATACAGCAGGAGACTTGAACACCTCTAAATATATCAAGCATTCACTCAAGCGAACAAGTGACCTCCTTGTGTGTCATTACAGCTCCATGAGTCTATCACACAGCAAACCCAGTAATTTAGCATTATGACACTCATCTCTAGAACTTGGGTCCCAACCTAAAGATAAACTGACAGTTGCGTGGTTTCAAAGTGAACTGGATTGGGAAATCAGTCCGGTTTAGGAGTCCCAACCCGAAACATCAACTTTCCTGCTCCTCTGATGCTGCCTGACCTGCTGTGTTCCTCCAACTCCACACTGTATCGACTCTGGCGAATTCTAAATTCAGTTTCCATTGAATCAAAGATGACAACATAAACCTGCCGAATTCCAAGTAAAATAACAGCTCTCCACTCTCTACGAAGCCCTTCGCACAAACAAAGTAAACAATATTTTAGATTAAAGCACCTTCTTCATAACAATCTCACTGAACAAACACCTGGCTTGGACCAGAGAGAGCACATTTCATCTTGCAAACTAAGCTGCAACAAGATAGCAGCCTCCATCATAAATCCTGGATATCTTAAAACTGAAGACAAAGGAATTGATGTTTAGCCAAAATGGTAAAATCCATTCCCCATAAATATTACTCAGCTTGTAGAGTATCAAATGCAGTTTCACTCCCAAATTAAAAATATTTAAATGGACAATACAAATTCAGTGTTACATTTCCAGTCATTTACAATTGTTTGGCATAATAGCAGGCATAAATGAAAATTATGTAGTAACAGTATAAAACCAGCACCTTTTTGAATCTGGAATATTTAGAGTTAATAGTGAGGTACATGTAAATCATTTCATGGCCAAACTCAAATGCCAGTGACCGAGTACCTAATTACGTTTTCCATTGTTGCAACTTCACTGGTGTAGAACTCGTACAAATCAGCTTTCTATTTCCAGGACCAAAACTTACAGTATGCAGCCTGACTTAGTTTCATGCAGTTAGCACTTCCAGTTTTTGGCTATTAAGCATTTCAATACTACAAGCAGAGAATGCACAAAGAGACGATATGAGATTGCAGGGCGTAGAGCTGGATGAACACAGCAGGCCAAGCAGCATCATAGGAGCAGGAAAGCTGACGTTTCGGGCCTAGACCCTTATTCAGATTGCAACTGACTTCAAATTTGCATTCAATTAGCAAATTAGCCTTGCGTACATTCAGAACTAGAAGGAAAAATGTGACTTAAAAATTAGAGGGCAAAGTATCAAATATTTGAAAGTCTACACATTTGTTTCAAAATGTAATTCAGCATATAAATTAGTGAACTAAATTACTAAAGTGGCCTATTCCCATATTTCAGATATTCCAGACTCATTCTGTGAAATTCAACACAATAGAATGTTAAAGTCATGAAGAGTTTTTTTAAAAATGTGAATTATTCAACCATGGGAGGGTATTGCTGACAAGACTAGCATTCACTGCTGGTCCTTAACTTCCATGGAGGACAGCGTACCTTGATCTCCTGCAATCTACATGGGTTAGGTAAACCACTATGTTGTTATGTAGGGAGCTCAAGGATTTTATCCAGTCATTTTAAGGACTGCAACATACACTTCCAAGCCAGGATGGTTTATGACTTGGTGGAAGATGTATATGGTGGTATTCGCATGTGCATCTCGCCCTTGTTCTTTAGGTCACAAAGGTCATAGGTTTAGAAGCTGTTATTGAAGACGCCTGAGCAAGTTCATTGAGTAGACAATTAATGCTGTGGTGGAGAATTGGGCACCAATTAAGTAAGCCGATTTACTGTGGAAGGCATTGAACTTGAAGTGTTACTGGAGCTGCATGCATCCAGTCTGGACAGAATACTGCATTATCTCCAAACTCTTGTGTCTTGTAGATGCTGAAAGACTTTGGATACTTCGGTGGGGAGTCACCCACCATAAAATCTTCTGACTTGCTCTTGTATTCGCTGGTACAGTTCAGTTTCTGGTCAATGGTGACAGTCCAGGATATTCATGTGGAGGATTTGACTATAGTTCCACTATTAAAATGTCAAGGGGAAGAGACTAGATTCCATTGTGTTTAAAATGGTTGTACTTGACTCTTGTGTAACATAAACATTACAGACCACTTGGTAGTCAAGTCTGAATGTTGTCCCAATTTTGCTGCAACGGGAAATAGACTTCTTCAGAACCTAAGAAACTACACAAAACTGTATATCTTCATCTGAAAATCTTCCTTACAATTTTAGCAGCATATACCTTATTAAATTTGAGACAACAAGGTGCAGAGCTGGATGAACACAGCAGGCCAAGCAGCATCATAGGAGCAGGAAGGCTATTAAATTTACTTGTTTATATCAAATAACAGAGATGGAAATTTTTGACAAACTATTAAACATTCATTTTGTAGCATTCCACAACAGCAGGAAATACAGAAATCATTCAGCAGGGTAGTCAGCATCAAAAACGCCACCTTATCAATTCTTAGTGTACAATCTGCTTATTGTTTCCAGTTTGTTTTTAATTCTAGAAATTGAGCATTGGCAGTTTTTTGCTTGTGTCTTAGAGTATATCGTGGGATAATCAGAGCTTTGTACTATATTAAATACACAACTTCGAAAACATTCTAAATTTACAGTTTGTAGACTTTTGCACTTATACTTAAGATAATAAGACAGAAAGGAATAATCTCACTCAATCAGAGGAGGGGCAATGAGATGATACAGAAGACAGGAATATGCAGATATTAAAAGTTCTTCACGTTGGTCTGACCAAAGCTGAGAAATCTTGTTCACAGAATCGAAATTCAGATTAACTTCATATATTACCTTTTAAGGTGCATGTGGTCGCAAGGAACGTCACAGGAGCAAATATCAAACAAGATTTAACAGAGTGAAACAAGGAGACATTGAACAACAGCATGGTAGGTTTAAAAGAATGGGTGAAGAGTGGGAGACAGAGTCCTAGGGCTATGGACATAGACAGTTGGAGGAAGACTGTAAATGGTGGATTCATAAAAATTGCAAACCGTGCAGGGATGAAATGGAAATAGCACTAAGACTTCAAAGGGTTTTAAAAAAAAACTGAAACACAGGAATTTACAGGTTGGAAGGAAGCCATTCAGACCATTGTGTCTGCACTGGCTGACAAGTAGCCTGATCTCACTTTGCAGTTCTTGGTCCAGAGCTCAGTAGGTAATAGCACTTCAAGTGCAAATCAATTACGTTTTGAAATGATGATCATTTCTCCCTCTAACCATTTTATCAGTGAGTTGCAGATCCCCACTATCCTCTGAGTGAAAATTACCAGTCTTTACCTCGCTAGGGAGGGGCAAGGCCATGAAGGAGCTTGAAAAAGATGAGAATTCTAAAGCTAGAATATACATAAAAACAACAGTCACATGTATAATCCATGGGCAATGACTTTACATAAATCGATAACTTCAATAGCATGGAGTCAACTCATCATTTTCAGATAATTTGTCTGTCACTGTAGATAGGAGAAGATAGCCACAAGATAGAAAGATTTTCTTTCACCCACCTCTTGATCTGGTTGATATCTCCATGTCCTCTTCCTCTTCCTCTTCCTCCTCTTCTTCCTGCTCCTGTTTCGGCGGGTCCTCAGCCAAACTACACAAAGAAATAAATGAACTGCCTGGTAATGAATATTGCAGAAAATCATACAGCAGCAATATAAAAATCAGAAAGCCATTTAGCTCTGTGGAACTTGTCTCTTTCCCCACCCTGTAAATTTTCTCTCCAACTTTTGATCTAATTCCTTTTTGAATACCATAATTGAATCTGCCTCCAACTCACATACAGTATATTCAAGATATTAACCACTTACCACTGTGATGAAACAAAAGTGTATGAATTATATCATTTTTGGAATTTGGATTTTAAAATAGATTCAGGTGGGTGTGGGTTACTTCTGCAAAGGGCTGCATAGCTAATTCTCTATTCCATGCAAATTTACTACTCTCAACACCACAGAAATATCGAAAAATAGGAGCAGGAATAGGCCATTCAGCCCTTCAAGTCTGCTCCACCACACAACACGATTATGGCTCATCATCCATGGACTTTTACCTAATGAAGTAGCCTTTTGTACAGTACCTCATTAAATGTCATTTGGAAAAACAAATATATTAAATTCACTGCTTCCTCTTTATCTATCCTGCTTGTTACCTCCGCAAAGAATACCAATAAATTTGTCAAGCATGATTTCCCCTTCATGAAATCATACTGACATTGTTTGATAAGATTTTGTATGTCTAAATGTTCTGCTATTATACCCTTTATAATACATGCTGACATTCTCCCCAAAGAGAGCTGTTATGCTACCTAGCCTATAGTTAAATTAAAGCAAAATATTTCACATTTACAGCATCAGCAAAAAAAAAAGCAGGAAAAAAGCTAGAGAAACTCAGCAGGTCTGACAGCATCTATGAAGAGAGAAAGAATGTAACATTTTAAGTCCAATTATTATTAGCAGTTATTTTATTTCTTTTCCCTTTTTGAGTAAGAGTGTTGTTAGTCAACTGTTTTCTAATCCTTCAGGATTTTTCCAGAATCGAAGGATTCTTGGAAGATCATTACCTGCGTATCCACTATCTGTGTAGTTATTTCCTTTAATATCTGGGATACAATCCATCAGATCCAGAAGATTTATCAGACTAGCCCTATTAATTTTCCTACTATTTCATCTTTAGTGTTTTTGGGATACTAAATCGGGTTTTCTATTGTGAAGACTGACGCAAAGTATTCAACTCCTGTTCTATTTCCTGATTCCCCATTATCATTTTGTCAGCCCTGTCCTGTAAGGGGCTTACGTTTACTTTGGCTTCTCTCTTTCATTTTATATATTTCAAGAAGCTCTCACCACCCTTTTTTAAAATTCTACTGGTTTACCCTCAAACTTTATTTTCTCCTTTTTTGATGGCTTTTAAAACATGCCCAATCCACTGGCTTACTACAAAACTTTGCCAAATTATGTTTTTTTTCCCCCCAATTTGATGCCATCCCTAACTTCCTTAGTTAACAATGGTACGTTCATCCCTGCTCTAGAACTTTTCTTGCAAGTCACAATTTTGTTCAATGCTTACCATTATTCATCAACTGCTTTTTTTCTACTAAACTCAATTCCCAGTCCAATTCTGCCAACGTTGCCCTCATTCCTTTGTAATTACTTTTATTTAAAAAGTTTAGCTCAGTTGTTCAGTAGAGCACATATGTAATCAAATTTCAGACAGATGTGAAAGAAAGGCAGCTATAGTAAGGGAATACCAACTTCCAACATTAACTGGCGTAGTCATAGTGTGAAAGTGTTAGAGGGAGCAGAATTCTTAAAATGCATCAAGGAGATCTTTTTGAAGACATACGTAGAAGGCCCAAGAACAAAAGAGGGGTTAGACTTAATTTTAGGTGATGAGGCTAAGCAAGTAGTTGAAATATCAGTAGGGAGAACATTGTGCAGGAGTGATCATAATTCTGTTAGTTCAAGATCGTATGGAAAAGGCCAAGAATGAGGAAATGAAATTTCTAAACTGGGTGGGGATGAAGACCAATTTTAATAAGACCAGGTATGGGTTGGCCAGACTTAACTGTGACAGATACTTTTAGGTAAACCTGTATCAGGGAAGTAGAACACATTCAAAAAGGAAATAGCTTAGAGTACAGTGCCAACATGTTCCAATAAAGATAAAAGGATGGGACCAACAAATCCAGGGATATACAAGATTGGATAAAGAGAAAAAGGGAAGCTTATGACAGATACAGAGGGCTGAAAACAGAAGCCCTACAGGAGTAAATTTGTGCAAGGGAAACTTTGCAGGGTCAATAGGGCTGTTCCTGCCATTGTCATTTCCGGTGCCGAGATTGATTCCAAGTGATCTGTCTGGCTTCATTTCTTTGAGACTTGGTAATGATTGGTACAACCGAACGACTTGCTAAGCCATTTCAGAGGGAAACTGAGAATCCACCACATTGCTGTGGGTTTGGAGTCACATGTAGGCCAGACCACGTGAGGATAGCAGATTTCCTTCCCTGAAGGACATTAGTGAACCAGAGGAGTTTTTCTGACAATTAACAATGGTTTCATGGTCATCAGTAGATCCTTAATTACAGACATTGAATACAATAAAAACAAATTCTGCCATGGTGGGATTCGAACCTGGGTCCCAGGGCATTATCTGGGTCTCTGGATTAATAGTCTAGCAATAATATCACTACCAGTGCCTTCCCCCAGAATGAGAAAAGGAAGTAAATAGCAGGGGAGTTCGCATTAATTTTCAATACCTCTCTGGCCACAGGAGAGATGCCAGAGAACTGGAGGACAGCCAATGTGGTACCATTATTCAAGAAGGCAGCAAGGAATAAATCAGGATACTACAGGTCAATCACTATAATGTCATGGTGGGGAAACTATTTGGAGTAGTTCAGAGGGACGGAATTAAATCTGCACTTGAAGAGGCAAGTGTTAAGCAAGAACAGCAAGCATGGTTTTGTTAAGGGGAGGTTATGTCTGACCAACTTTCAGATGTGACCGGTTATGTAAATGACAGCAATGCATTCAACAGTCTATTTGGACTTCAGTAAGGCTTTTGACAAGGTCCCACATGGCAAACTGATTGTGAAGATAAGAGTCCATGGGATCCAAGGAAATTTGGCTACTTGAATCTAGAATTGGCTGAATGGAAGCAAGCAGAGGGTGACTGTTGAGAGGTGTAATTGTGACTGGAGGCCTATATCCAGTGGAGTTCTCCAGGGATCAGTGTTGCGGCCCTTGATGTTTGTGGGGTATGCAAAATCAGTTTAGATTGGAATGTAGAATGGCTGATCAGTAAATTTGATTGTGGGGTGAGGGTGAAGGGGTGTAAACAGTAAGGAGGCTAGCCTTAGATTACAGGACAATATAGATGGGCTGATCAGTGGCAAATGGAGTTCAATCTGGATAAGCGCGAGGTGATGCACTTGGGCAGGACAAACAAGGCAAGATAATACATATGAACAGTAGGAGCCTGGGAAGCAAAGAGGCTCAGAGGTAGATCGGTGTGCATGTACACTAGTCCCTTAAGGCAGTAGGAGAGGTAGATAAAGTGATTAAGACGACATATAGAACACTTGCTTTTATTAGCCAAGGCAGAGAGTTTAAGAGCAGTGAAATTATGCTGTAACTGTATAACATGTTCATTAAACCACAGTTAAAATATTGTGCACTTCTGGAATCCACATTATAGCAGGGTGTGCCTGCAATGGAGAGGGTGCAAAAGAGATTTTCCAGTATGTTGGCTGGACTGGAGAGTTTCAGTTATGAGGAAAGATTAGACAAACTGAAGTGGTTTTCCTTAGAGAAAAGAGGAGAGGAGACTGAATGGGGGGGGACATGATCAAGATGTTTCAAAGTATGATGGGCATAGACAGGAAGAAACTTTTCCCTATGGTGGAGGGATCAAAAACCAGGGGCATAGATTGGAGGTAAGGGGCAGGTGGTTTCAAAGAGATGCAAAGAGAAGTCTTTTCACCCAGAGGGAGGTAGGAATCTAGAACTCACTGCTGTAAGGGTGATAGAGGCAGAAGCCATCATAACAGTCGAAGAAGATTTTCGATGTATGCTTGCGATGCCAAGGCATGCAAGGCTTCAGGCAACAGGCTGAAAAATGGGATTAGAATAGTTAAGTGAATCTTTTTGACAATGCAGACTCAACAGGCCAAGCCTTTTCCTGTGCTGTAGATCTAAATGGCTCCACAACCCAAGTTTTACTCTCAAAAGGGAATGGTAAACTCTACCATGTCTGGTCACCGATTCCTACAGGGAACTTTTACTCTGGGATGACTTATTAAACCTGCCTTATTACTCATCATCAGATCCAAAATCGTCTGATCCCTGCTGAAATCCATAACATGGTTCTAGGAAACTGTGGAGTACAGCTGGCTCATGGCTACCAGTTACTTTCTCTCCTATAGTATTGCTACTCTTGCTGGGCAAATGGACTACTCCCACCAGTTTCTTCTGCCTCATTTCTTTTAATCCCAATCCACATGGATTTGAAAATTTCTGAATCAAAATTAGTTCTGTTGTCATAATTATTCAGTCTTATACTTACAAAGCCATCTTATCACCCTTTCCAGCTTGTCTGTCATTTTGACAGGTCATATACTCCTGTATATTTAGTTTGCAGATTTGATTTTTTTTAATAACCATGTCTCAGTAGTTGCTTTAAGATCATACCCATTAACCTCTATTCATGCCATTAATTCATTTATTTTACTCTGAATACTACATGCAGTGAAGAGCCAATAAATTTTGCCTTATCATTTTTCCCCTATTAACCCTATTTGCTGCTGTTTTTCTATATTTGTACACTTTGTCCCTTCCTGTCCACTCTGGATGTAATCCCTGCAAACTGCCATATCATTTTGCTTTGTAAATCTTTGTATCTTCGCACCCCTCACCCCGAACTCTTCACTTGTGCTTCTCCAATCTATCGTCATAATCAAAGTCTCTTATTCCCAGAATGAATCTCAAATCTTTTCTGAACACCTTCCAATCCTTTACATCATTACTAAATCATAGCATCCAGTATTGGATGCAAATATTTCAGTTGAGGTCAAACCAGTCTGTTTAGTGT